TCAGATATATTAACCTAAAATAAGATAAATTAATTTCAAAAATACTTAATTAATTTAATTTATTTAACAAAAATTAATTTACCTAAAATAAGAAATACTTAATGAACATAATTTATTATAATTATATTATTAATTACTAAATTTTATTTTAATTTATTAAAATTAAAATTTTTAAATAAATAATTTACGTATTTATGTCTTAATTAATTTAATTTATTATAGTTATTTTTAAAATTAATTATATTTAGGTAATAAACAATTGAGTAATAATTTACTTTAACAAATTAATTAAATTAAATGATTTAATTTTTTAAAATTAATTAAATTAATTTACTTTAACTAATTTCATTTATGGCGACAGTTAATCTTAGGACTGTGGCTATAAATGGAATATATAAGCATTTAATTATGAAAAAGTCACTTGTGCATATATTGCCATAGGTTTTTGAGAAACTGTGGCGAAAAATGGGTCATTAAAATTCTATTTTGCACTAGTGATTTAAACATGCATGGAAGTTTTATAACCATATTTCATAAATTTTATTATAGATTCCATGCGTGACTTATGAGATAAAATTCATTTAAACTTATATAGATTACTAATCGATCCAACATAACACAATGGAGCAACCCAAAATAAAATAATTTATTTTATTAAAATTCAAATAAAGGAACATCCAATGAGAAATATAATTTACCAACAATATATAATATAATAAATTGGAAATAATGATTTTTTTTAAAAGAAATTTCTATTGGTAATTTAATTTGGGGTTATCCACTTATAAAATTCCCAAGCATATAAAATACTTCCAAAATAGTTTCCTACTGACAATGCTTTGTCCTTAAATTCCTCTATACAGCAATGGTATTAAGGAGATGGAGACTAGACACAACCCAAACCACAGCAAGAATAGAAGAGGGAAAAGAAGATCACGAGCTGCATAGGGGAGAGGGAATCTGATATGCACACGCTGCCAAATCGGAGGAGGAAGATTCTGATGCTTCCATGTTCACCAACCATGGAGCGTCAAGGATGAACGTGAATGGAGAGGAAAGCTTGAACCCTTGCAAGCTCTCATGAAAGGAGGAATGGAGATCTTGGTGGTTTTTAAGCAGGAAAGAAAGAAGTTGTAAGTTTAGCAGAACAAGAATGGTACAGCTCCACTCTGGCGATAGTGGCAAGCACGAACATTGGAGATATCATAGATTAGAGCACAGTGGGTGAAGTTTTTGGACAGCTCTCTTGCTGTCTGAACTTATGCACAAAAACTTGAAAATATGAGGAAGAAGGAAGAGAAAAATCTGATCAAGTTAAGGACAAATGGTTAATTTCACATAAAGATTGAAAAGTGAGAGCGAAAGAAAAAAAGTTATTCTGACTCTTGCTTCCAAAGAGATCCAACCAGGAACCTTGGATTTGAAGTCAATAATACTCACCACTAAGCCATCAATTTACTTTGGAAAATTAACCCCTAAATATATAAAAAATATAATTAACATATCTTAACACAAATTTTAAATTGATTTTATTTTTTAATTGGATTATTATAGCGGGGAGGGGGTGTGGGTGGGTGGGTGTGCGTGCATGCACGGAGGAATGTTTAAGTTATATGGCAATGTATTCCATGTTTCACAATACTAATCATGCACTGAAAATACAAAATTGATCAAAACAAGCGAATTTTGATTCCTATAGATTATGTTTTAAGGCTTAAAGATATAATGGACGAAATAAGGTGTGAAAATACTTAGAAACTTTTTCTCTAAAATTTTTCTAGTATCCTTAAGTCAATAATGGTATATGGGTTGGGGAAGGTTATATTAAGTTATATTAATGGATTGGTGAAGGTTATAGCTGGCAATTTGGATCAAACATGTATAGGCTAGCTTGAATAAGCTCAAAAAATCTTGTGGATTCTTTTTTGTTAGAAAAATCTGACTATGATGGCACACATTAGTCTCTAACAATTCTTAGAATACATTTGATTTGATAATCAAAGAATGTTATATCTCCAAATCAAGTAAACTCATACGTCCTTTGCATAAAGGAAGTAGGGCAATAATATGTGGTTTTGGTATCTTCAACAAGTTGATAAGTGTGAAAATATCATCTCCAACATTGTAAATGCGGGTGAAGAATTTCTTGTATGCTTCATCATTACATTCATGTAATGTTAATTAACCTAATTACAATCACTTTCTCTGGCAACATCACAGCCAAGCCCATGTATTGGTTTGTTGAATCAAAGGCTTTCATAATAACAAATGAAATGGTATGTGTTTCATCAGTTGGATTATTTGATCAAAATAGTAAGGTGAGAGTTGTAAGTTGTAAAATCACTTTATGCATAGAAAACAATGGGGAAAAATTAATTTTGTTTGTGTGTAAAATAAAAAATAAACCAGAAAAACATAAAAACATATAAAAACCAGCATTTAACGTAAAAAGAAAAGAAAAGAAAATTATATTTAACTTCTTATTATTACAAATACCTAAGAAAATTATATTCAGAGCAGTTTTGGCAATTCAATTTTTAACTCTCCTATTATATGAATAGATATATATATATATATATATCCCTTTCTTGTGGCTATGATGGAAAGGCATGGAACATATGGTAAAAAGATACCTCAAGCAATTTCCTCTTCAAGAAATATAATACCAAGGGTCCTTGACGTGATTAGAATTTAAAAGTAAGATTGTCTAAATGCCTTTGGCTTTAAAGTTAATTTTCATGCTTCCCACTTAAAATTTGAAAGGTAGGTTGCAAATTATTTTTCAACAAGTTACAATTTGCAAGAAAAATCCGCAGGTTGGCAGCTGTATTTGAACCATATTCTTATGGAAAATAGAACAACTCTTTATTAATTGGATCACCTTAATTTGTCGACCTCAATCACCTATTAGAGGCTAATAGAATTGATGCTCGTGATGTTGGCTGATTTTGATTTTTTTTTTTTTTTTTTTGTTCTTCCATTGTTTGTTTCGGGCTGAGTCTATTGGGACTTGTTTTTATGGTCCATCGATATGAATGGTTATTTCTTTGGCCAAAAAAAAAAAAAGAGCCAACATGTTATTTTTCAAAATTTTATATTAGAACCACAAACAATCAAGCCCTTTCCCTGTTGTCCATCTTTGGTCCTTCTTCAATTCTTTTACGACAATTGCTTTCTTTCATTAATAATATAAATATGCATTTATCTTGAGTCTATATAATAAAAAGAGTTAAAGTTTTAAAATGCTATAAGTCCTGACTGATCATGACATTTTGTAAAAAAAGACCATGAAATCCCTGCTTCAAATGTCCTACAAATTTTATAAAAAAGACCATAGTGTTTTTGCTTTTTAGATAAGTTCGCATAAAGAAATACAAATTTTATTTTAAAAAAGACCATAATGGTTGTCTTATTTTTCTATGCCGATGCATAATTTCTAAGTCTAGTCAATTCATATGCGTAGAGAAAGTGGCACAATAATAGTGGGGGAATAAAAAGAATTTATATATATTTAATTCATTCCATTCCATTCTAAACATTAAGGTCGTGTAGAAAAAATTTCACAATTGTAGATGTTTTCCCATTACTGAAGTCAACAAGGAAAAAAAGCTACTTATTAATCATGACATTCCACCTTTTGAGTCGGTGTCCACATTTTTCTTTGATCAAGCCAACTCAAGTAGGTACTCATATCTTTTGGGGGGAGGGGGAGGGAAGAGACAATAATGGAGAATCTGTTTTTGGTCATCTAAAGCAATAGGTTGCATGTTGGAAATTGAATAGTTGGTATATTATTTTTTGTCGAGTTCAAATATTTGAAATATGATTTTACAAATTGAGTAAAATACGTGTTATTTAGAAAATAACCATAGCTGAAATAATAATTATAATAATAATAATAATTACTATTATTATTATTATTATTCTCAAATTCCAATGCATGTGTGCATTTATTAAGCAGTGCGAACACTTTATTCTATTCCTACCATCTAAGCTATCCTAGGATGATTTATTTGTTGTATCACATTTAATATGATAGTAAAGATTTTTGCTTAATTCCTTGGATATTTCTATTTCTTTAACATATTGGCTCTTGGAAGCAATTTTTAACCACCAATGCTTCCGAGTCATGATTGTACTCCAACGAGTTAATAAATACACTATTATAATTAATACTCCCAATGTCCCTATTAAAGGGCGCCTATAAAAAAGGATTCTTTGGTCCTTAATATAAGGATAATGGATGGTTATTTTTTATTATTTTTCAATTTTACCCATGTTATAAATTTAATTTTATGGTTCATCATATATTATATATTTCCCTCTTCCTATTTTTAATAGGGTGAATTTGAATTTTTTTCAGTTTAATAGCTATTTAATGACTTAATTATCATTCTTTGGTTCCAATGAAGTATTTGAAAACGTCTTATAATGGAACATATATTGTCAAGTTTGCACAAGGCTACAATTTGTATGGGGATTATTTAATTTTTTTACTGTGTCTAATAAATCTAGCTATTGTTTTTTGAACTATATTTTTGGGGTTCTTAAATATTTTTTTATTTAATGTTTACTATTTAAATCAATTTTATGAAAATCTTTTTAAGCTTCGTAATTTTTTTGGGCGTGGACTTTTTGTAGTTATGTAAGGTTTTATATATATATATGTTATGTAAAATAAAATAAAAACCATTTCCGTCCATTGATATCTCCGTGTTAAATTCAATTTTTATTTCTAGTATCAAATTGTCCTTATTTCCAACAAACTGAAGAATATGCCAATACAGTCTAATTTCCAAACTTCAGTGCAGGCCCCACCATCCCAAGATTATGACTAGTGGTGGCTACTGGTTAATACAGAGGTAGGGAATGTCACCTGTTGAGAAATTTCAACCATTGATCCACAGTTTTAAATGCATATGTAATCATCAATCCTCTTTAAAATGTGTGCTTATGAATTTCTAAGCGCGCATATATATAGTACAACCTTCTTCTCCTAACCACTTCATCGATCTAAGAAGCCATGAACCTATCCAACATGGCAAATCTTTGTTTTCATTTCCCCTTGCTCATGTTCTCCCTACTTTGTCTCAAGGTTTGTTTCACTTTATGCCACACCAATCTTACTATGAATGATGAATTGGCACTACTTGCTTTCAAGTTTTCTGTGAAGGACCCTTACAATCACTTGGCTAATTGGTCCAACTCTTCTTCCATTTGCAATTGGGTTGGGGTTATGTGTGATGCTCACCATGTGAGAGTAATAGCCTTGAATCTTGGTGAGATGGGTCTCAAGGGAACTTTGCCCTCAAAAATTGGGAATTTGTCTTTCCTAGTTGAACTTGACCTTCATAGTAATAACCTTTATGGTGAGTTGCCAAAGGAATTGACCCAATTACACAAGCTGCAAATTCTCAATTTGAGCTACAATGAATTCAATGGAGAAATCCCAACTTGGATTGGAAGCTTATTTATGCTTCAACACTTCCATCTCCATAATAATAGTTTTGGAGGTTTTATTCCTAAAAGCATATCCAACTTGTCAAAGTTAGAGACTTTGGATTGGAATTATAACTTTATTGAAGGAGTTATTCCATCTGAGATTGGAAAACTTCAAAGTTTGAAGATTTTACGGATTGCAGGAAACAAGCTTTCAGGAAGAATACCCCTAACTATTTCTAACTTATCCTCACTTGAGTTATTGTCTTTGTCTTTCAACTCCTTAACAGGTATGTCTTAATAATTAATGTGTTCTTAGCATTTCTTTCATTTTACAATGATATAAATTAATTTTCTATTTGGAAATGATTTTGCTTAATTTTAATGTATATTTCTGCTTTCCTTAAGATAATATGCCTTATTATCAAGTGTAATTAATCTTCTTGGACGTAAATTTTTCACTTATGTTGGTCAGAATAAATTTCATAAAATCAGCTTTGCAGATGTATCCTTCCCTATTCAAGTTAACTTCACCTGAGCAAATTAATATATTTGATAATTCTTTAATTGTTATTTTTAATTATATATTATTGGTGATAATAAAATGTTCTTACTTGAGAAAGATATATTGTCAAATGTTCTTTTAAATCCTTTAACTGCTAACAATTTTTTTACGTTACACATTTTACAGAGTTCCTTCTGTAGTTTTATAAATTATTACTAATATGTTTTTTTATAACATTAAAAGGTTGCGTCAGGAATTTGCATATTGTTAGGACATGTCTCACGCATTCTTTATCAAGATACATCGATTTTCTTTTTTATTTTCCCCCCTATTGGGTTCAAGAGCTCTATTTTTTTCTTTTTTTTTCCTTAGGCTTTCTTTTCAGTACAAATTCAAGAGTTATAACTTGTTTAGAATAACTTCAAAAGAAGCCATTCAAAAAATGCAGGAAAAACACAACAAAACAGTGCACTTTTTATTTTTATCTAATCATTTATGCACCATGACAAATGAGTGCAATTTCAAAATTTGTATATTTGTGCTAATGAATTGTTTTGTCCAATAATATTTGGTTGATAATTGATATTGAAAAGAGCTCAAATTAGCGGTTGCATATAAAACATTTTTGTTTGGTTTCAAGCTTTTATTATTTTCTGGTTTCTTTTAAATACAAATTCAATATTTATTATATCATAATCAAAATAACTTCAAAAAATGCATTCATAAAATTATATTTATTATTTATTTTTATTTTTCCATAATTGTCTTATACAAGAGAACTCATAATAATGTTGCTTTTTCTTTATTATCATATCGTAGGAGATATTCCCAAAGCAATTGGTGCTCTCACAAACCTGAAAATACTATATCTAGGTGCTAACAAGTTGTCTGGCCAAATACCAAGGAATATTGGAAACTTGACAAAACTTCAACATCTACAACTGGGTGAAAATAACATAAAAGGTATACTTTCAACTAATCATAATGTGACACTTTTCATCAATTTTGTGTTAATTTTTATTATCCAAGGGTGTAGATGTGATGAGAAGAACAAAAGAAGAAAAGGGATTATAAGAGAATCCGAACCCCAGAATTATATAAAAAGTTAGTTTATAATTTTTAAAATTTGAAATTGATAATACTATTGTCATGTTTGTGGTCTTACCATTGTTTCCCCTTAAAAAGACTCTATTTCAGCCTCATAAATCTCAATGACATAATATATTTAGATTAAATATTTTAAATTATATCAAATTTTATAATTAAAATTTTGGTTAAATATTTGATTAAATATTTTAAAGTATATCACATTTTCACGTATCCAAACTATTTCACTCTTTCTGATTGTTTTCACTTAGTTAATTACAAGAATTTCAAGAGATTAAAAATTCAAAAAATCTATAATGTTAATATGTGAATAGAAAGAAAAATTTGGACGGTCTAACATCTTATCCAAAGTTGATTTTTCCAATTTTGTTACTTATCAACCGTAGTCAATTCTGCTCATTATTTCACATATAGGAATTAGCAAATAGGAGCGAAGGGAGGATCCACCGATGAATTAAAAAAAAAGGGTTATATAAAAATCAGGGAAAACGAGGAAACATGTCTCAAGTGATTATGATAAGCACATGTATCAAGTGTCTTAATATATATGTACTTTTTTTGTTCTAAATTATAAGACACTTTTAGACAAAATCTTACATGCCAATAAACCTCGTTAAATATACTTAATAATCTTATCCTTCTGAAATAAAATTATAAACTTTCAAAAATACCAATCATTTAGTATATTTAAAATCAGGAAACATTTAATAAGTTGGTATAGGACCAACTTCTGATTGGAGTTGGCCTAATATTGTTTGAGTTGAGAGCATCTAGTTTTGAGTTTTACAATTATTGTTGTGTGTTCGTGAGCTTTACAGAATTATTAGAGTTGCAGTATGACATATATTGGGCTTTATATGAACAAGAATTAATCTTCACCAAAAGAACAAGCTCAAGCTATATCATATATATATGCCAATCACTGAAATAGATCAAACATATGATGCATATAAATTAACTAATTAAACTATTGATATTTTTAACAATAATTTACTAATTTTATGATTTCAGAGGAACGCTATTAGATAATTGGTAGTACATAATAATATAAAACTTAAAACTGCAAATACATATAAAAATAAAACATATTAACTTTACAAAACTACGTACTTCAATTAAAAAAATTGTAAATAAATATTAAAACAACTGACATTTTAATGATTTAGGAGTGACCATGATATAAATCCAACGAAGTTAATACTTTATTCGTATTTTTATATAATAGTATATATATATTATATACCATTTTCACCCATTTTTCATATAATAATTATTGTTAGCAGTTGTAAATTTATTTATATATGTAAGTTTTTATCAAAAAATTTTTGTGATTATATATATTTAGAAAATTTTTCATATTATTTATGATTCATTTTTAGTGTAAAAATATTCATTTATCTTTAATTTTATTAATATTACTGAGCCACGCTGTAATTTTAAAAATATACACCTTAATTTTAATTTTAACTATGTAGAAATAGTTCATCAAAAATTCTAAGATACTTTTATTGATTAAGAAGGGCAGCATAACCATTTTTTACTGGAAACTTGACAAAACTTCATGTGCTTAGACCTTAGTAAAACTAAGTTTTGACTTAAAATTGTTCAAACAATTAGTGCTGAATATGTTACTTATAATTTTGCATGTGTTAGGGTTTTGACTGATTGTATCCTTATTTGCGGCTTAGATGTAATTCTTTCAATATCTTACTCTCTTAATATATGGTATTTTTGGTAGTTGTTCACAGACTTGTATAAGATGTCATTTTAGAGTCTTAACCTTCATCTCATTCGTTTACTTACTTGTAGGTTCAAAGTATTTTGTGAAATTTTGGTTTTAAATTTAAATGATTATCTAAAAGTAACCATTAATTATTTTTCTTGTAAGTGACGGTGGTAAGGACATGTCTAAAGTGTAAAATTTTTTCCCCTTAATTAATGCATAAGAGGAACTAGCAGCTTTGGATCTTGTAATTGTTTTTGCAGGTTTGTGGGCCGTATAGATTGATTAATGTGGCAGTATGTATCGGCTTTTATATGAAACATAACTTTTGATGCAAAATACAAATAAGGAAGGAGAATTTCATTCAATTGCTATCTCATCATATATATAAATATACATGGGCCGGCAACTAGAAATAAGGGTCCACAAGTTAGATTTGGAAAAAATGATTCATCATATATGGACACTTGTAGGATTAAGCCATCTTTCTCAATACATATATCCGTGACCAATTTGAATTCTATATTGCTAAGTGTTAAATTTTTTTTTTGTAGGTGATATACCAGAAGGTATTGGAAAACTGGATTTGCTTCAAGAGCTATATCTTTCTTTTAATAATTTACGAGGTAATTTTTCATCAAATCATGATATTCTAGCTACTATAGTTTTTTTCACACTTCAGTTGTTTTCTTAGTATTACTGTGAACAACAACGCATTTTCTTTTCAAACTTTTTTTGTTTATAAATTTGTGTTTGAGTGAAAATTTCTTTTTAACAATTCTTGAAACATAAAAATAATTCTTTAGTTTTGGTTGCCCAAATGTTTTTTTTTCTTTTCTAATAATTTTAGAAATGCTGTTTAGGATGTTGTGTGAAGTATTTTGTTTTTTTTGGAATAGATGAAGCTCCATTTGGAGCAATGAAAATGGATTTGCATGTATAGTCTAAATGTAGTTAATTAATATATTACAGTTAAAACGTATTTACAGAGTGAAAATATTAATATCCACATCTATATTAAAATATGAAGTCTCCATCTACTGTTTAAAAAATAGAAAAATATAGAACTTCAATATCTACTGTTTTACCAAATTTAATTAAATGCTGTTGTTGTATATTGGTGACTTGGAGTATTGTGTAAAACTTTATTTCTTTATAATCATTTTGCATGCGATTAATTCTTTAGTTCATATTTCAATCTATGTAAAATGTCTTGAAAAGGTTCAGCACATGTGAAAATATTTTTTTTTTCATATGCTTTTTTATGCATCATGGCAAAAAGTTCTAATAACTCTACAAATAAATTATTACGTTATGAGATCATGATTTACTTAATATTTGTGATATTTAAGTATTTTTAAACAAAATATATGTTCTTTGATTAATTCATTCCCGCCCAAAATATCCCTCACTGTCCATGTAGGATGACTATAATGTGAATTGCATCCGGACGATTTATAGTGCACTATCGCTCTTAATGATGTGTTTTTATGTTGTCATGTACGGAGGAGATATTCCCAAAACAATTTGTGATCTTACGAGTACGAAAATAATGGCCTTAGATTTTAATTAATATTTTCTAGCTTTTTAAATAAATTTGTCAGCACCTTTATTAGAAACATTTGTTTTTTCTTTGTGTCCTTCTACATTTGGATTTTTTAATCATATCCCAAGCAATAATGCTAAGGAAATGTGTGATCTGATAAATTTAAAAATATGAACCCAGTCACAGCAGTGCTCATGGTTTTCTTTGTCTTGCTTTTCTACCTGTTGGAGTTTTGGTGCTCTTGAAAGCAATATGGAAACCATTATGTTCATTTATATCTTCATTATCTTTGATCTTTATACTTTAGATCCCTACTACATATTCAGATTTGTGGTTCACATGCACAATAATTGTGTTGTGAAATTTGCTACACTTTGATGCCCATCAAATAGAGAAGTGTTACTCTGTTTACCTTTGGTTTTTGGGCAATAAAACAGAGGTAAGAAAATAATATTATTCTTAATTCTATAAAGACTTGCCCTTCCAACCCCATGCGTGCTCTTTTCTTTTGAGTCTCTTGATAGCTTTTTAATTTTCTTCTTTATTTGGCACTTATTTTGATGAATGTTTTTTCTTTTAATTCTTTCATAGAGAGATTAGAGCTATTGAACTAATCGATTATGAGTTGTTTTGTCTTTGTTCTTGTAAGCAATTCCCTTTTTGTTTTCCATATCATCACTTTTTTTTAATACCAGACTTCTCTTTCCCTCATTGCTTGTTTAGAATGCTAAATTTTGGGGCAAATCAAAGAAGAATTGTGTGATAATGTTGAATATATAATTTTTTTTTATAAAGGTTGTCTGAAGTGAAATTTTTTTGTTGACTTGTAGAATCTTTTTGTTTGTTTCAAACATTGTTATAATTTTAACTTGGACTCCTTAAAATGACTCTAGCCTATGCCCTACAAACAAGTTAATTATTCAACGTGTTTATTAAATTTATGATTCTGATTTGTTTTATGGTAGATTTAAATTTAAATATGCGACTTTGATGATAGTTATATTTTACATAAATATTATATAGACCCTCATTAGAATTTCATATTGGAGAGATAATATTGAAAACGTGTTTACACACACACACAAACATTAATGTTGAAGTCTGTTAGTGTCACCATCTTGAGAAATTCCATTAATCTAAAATAGAGTATGTGATTTAAAAAAATTAATATGTGAATTTCAATGCTGATTTTGGTTGACAATGAAGGATTTCTGTATATAAAAAGAAATAATCAAAATTTAAATATACATATGACATATATATTTTGATTATGAAATACATCTCTAACTGCCATTGTACTGGGAAAATTATTTCAGTCTTTTCATATATTATTTTCAGTTTAATATACATAGCCTCTACCTTTCATTTGCCAACACTACGTACTGCACGGACCGAAAGTTGTTATAATTTTATTTGAAACTTGGGCTCCAAGAATGTTTGTTTTAACATTTTCTCTTTTTATTTTTTAACTTTCTTTTACATAAACTTATTTTAGTTAAAATATTAAATTCATTATTAGAAAAGGCCAATATTGAGGGCAAATTTATTAATAGGAGAGCCAAAAAAGGGTCTCAAATTAGCTTTATACTTTCTTTACAATATCCTAATTCTAAAATTAAAGAATAAGTTATTAATAATTTACATTGGAATATTAGAATATTGAGTGACTAGTGTTAACCATTTAGTTGTTGATGACCCTAAAATTTATATAAAAGGCACCACACTTCAATAGAAGTTAGGAAGGTTGATTCCTTTCTCAAGAGGGAGGTTACCTTGGTCCTCACCTTATTGTTTCACCTCAAAGTGGTTTTGAAGTTTGGTGTAAATCCTTCAAGTGAGGGATTATCATCACTACAAAAAAGGAAAAAAAAAAACAAAGAAAGACTTTGGTGGCAACAAAAAATTGCCACCAAAATTCCAAAAGTTGCCTCTAAAAACCTTTAGCGATGACTCTTCACTACCAAAGGATCGCTATCAAAACTTTGGTTACTAATAGTTTTTGACGACAACAAGCATAGTCGCCACCAAAAGTTTACCTTTAGCACCACCAACATTTTTTCATCACTAAAGGTATAATTTTGGTGGTGACTATGTTTGTTGTAAAAAACTATTAGCGACTAACCTTTTGGTGATGGTCCTTTGATAGCGAAAAATCACCACCAAAAACCTTTAGTGGAGACAAAAGTCATTAAAAAAAATAGAGGCATCTCATGCCACATCAACGCCTCCTCATGCCAAATCAATTGACACCTTATGCTACATCACTTGGCACATGTGCACCTCCTCATGCCACAGCACATGCCGTGTCACCCCGCCATGTATGCACCACATTATGCTACATTCCTTGATAAATTGTGCCACATTAGGCCACATCATCACCACATGTCACATCACATATTCATTGTGAAATATGCTTAAGCTAGGATTTGAGTACTTGACATCCACCTCTTAAGCATTAAGTCCTCCTTTTTGCTAGTTGAACTGAAATGTATCTGCAGTTATTATATGCAAAAATAAATATATATCATTTAACTACATACACACATATCAAAAAATATATTATTAAAAAAATATATATATGTTTTATTTTATTTTCATTTATTAATATGTTAAAATAATTTCTATGAATGTATATATTATATTTGAATAAAATATTATTTTTTAGGAAAATGAACTTACAATAAAATAATTTTTAAATATTAAATAATTTTCTTATAAACAATTTTAACAATTTTTAAATTTGATTTTAAATTTTAAATAAAAATAATTACGTATATAATTTATTCATAAGTATGTCTAATATTAGTTTATGTTAAATATCTTCTACTTCTTTTCCATATTTTTCACAAAAATTAACAAATAAATTATTTAACTTTTATCTTCTCTCAAGTTAAAATCCTTCCCCTTGTTTTATCAAAAAAATTTATCTACAATTTTTCAATTATCTAAAAAAATTTTAATAAAAATTTATTTTAATCATATAAATTTGGCAATAGTCATTTTGAACAATTATTCTTTATTATCCTTAAGATAGAAAATGGGTGGACATGTGATAAACTAAAAGTGGATCCTAAACAAAAAAACTCCAAATTAAAATCTAAGTGGCTATTTGATAATCAAAATGAAAGAAATCTTGTCTTGACTTAATCTAAATTAGTTTGGACTTCTACTAAATTCTCTTTAATAGAGTCAATCTAAAGATAATAGGGAATACTTTCCAATAACTTTAGAAATTAAAATAAATAAATTTTAATAAGTTTATACATAATTTCATCTATAGTTCAAAAAACCTTCAAGTACTCTCCACCTATTTCATTTGTTTCTTATTTTAAATGAGCATCAAATATGGAGTGTCTTATTTAAATAATTATGTGATAGTAAAAAGTAGAGCTCAGCAAATAGAGTAAACATCATGTGTAGACCAAGTCAAGCATCAAGTGCATAATGTGTCAAGTAGTCTATCATGCCATTTGAATTTTACAGTATCTATACAACCTTAACATTCTAATGCTATTTGTGTGGTGTGTGTGTGTGTGTGTGTGTGTATAGTAAGTAAGTAAGTATTTATATATAATGTTAACATTCCATATTATTTATTTCTTATTTTATATTTAAATACCTTTAGCAGTAACAAATTTTTCTGCTAAAAGTAATTATGTAACTTAATGTTTATAAAAATATTTTTTTAAATTTTTTATTTTTTAATTATTTTTATGAAAAAAATTTTAGTGGTGACAAATTGTAGCTATGAAAAGTAGTTAAATAAAATTTTTTAATTTTTTAATTATTTTTATGAAAATTGTTTTGGCGGCGACTATTTTCACCACTAAAAGTAATTACATAATTATTTTTAATTTTTTATATATTTTTATTCAAAATAAAAGTCAATGCTAAAAATATACTTTGAAGGTCTACTTTTAGTGGCAACTTCTAATTGTCGTCACTAAAGTAGACCTTTGAGTTGCTGTCAAAAGTCTTTTTTTTTTTTGTAGTGCTTGTTTGATTTTTCAATCATAATCTTCTTCATTTTCTTCTCTTTGTTAAACCACTATTCTCTCTATTCAATTCTTTACTAGTCTTAACAATTTCAAAAGCTATTTTATAATCATTTATATGTTTATTTGATAAATATAAACAGTTTTCAATTTTTAATTAAATATTCTTTTATTAATTCCTTATTCATTATATTGGTTTTAAACCCTTTACCTCTAGCTACTCATACTCCACCTATCCTTACCAGTTACCATTTAAGCTAACTTTAGGTTTTTCATCGATGCATATTAGTTTTAAAACCTTTATAAATTAATTTTTTTGAATAAATTTATATTTTTTACAGAAATTTAAATAGATGTTGGCTAGTTTGTTGCATTAAATTTAATAGTCACACCATCCAAAGCTAAATAAATGGCTTTCCAAAATAATTTATATTCGCCAAAAATATATTTTTATCAGAAAAAATTTACCATAAAAATATTTGCAGATCAATTCACCCAGTTAAAAAATGCTAGAATAATTGTTTGAATGAATTACATAGGATATGGGGGTAAAAAGTTTTATGCATTCCTTCAAACAGCCAAAAAAAAAAAGAGCCAAATTTTAAAACATTTCCATTTTCGTTCAAGATTTACATCTTGATTAAAATAATTTACAAGGTAATTTTTCTTCAATTTATAATGTTCTAGCTATAGTTGATTGTTTTTTATATTTAATCCTCATTATTGGTATGAAAGACAATGTATTTTCTATTCCTATTTTTCCTTTTGTTTATAAATTTGTCTGCGTTAAATTTTCTTTTCCCACAATTCTTTATGCATAAAAATAAGTATTTAGTTATTTTTAATTTAGGGATGCTAGTTAGGAGGTCTTGTGGAACATTGTGTTTTGTTTGGAACAGAGAAAGAAAGCTCCACTTGGAGCCAGAAAAAAAGGATTTGCTACCAAATTTTATTCTTTAATACCATGAATAACATTGTCTTTCTGGTCAAAATACAATTAATTAACATATTAGAGTTGTTTATGGTGGTGATAGTATTAAATATCAACATCAATATAAAAATATGAGGTCTCCAACTCACTTGTTCCCTTTAAATGGTAAATGAATATTAAAAAATGGAAAATATAGAACTTTATTCCCTATAATTTTACCAATTTTAATGTTGATATAGCAATAAGTGCTATAATCATATATTAGTGCCATGCATAAAATTTTGTTTCAAATTTTGTTTCTATATAATCATTTTGTGTGAGATGAATTCTTGAGTTCACATTCATTCTATATACATTTCGACGCAAGTGTGGAGTGTTACAGACGCACGTTTTTTTTTCACAAAGTTTAATGAAAATCATCACAATCAATTTTCTGATAACTAATCTACTAGATATTACATTATGAATTCATGATTTTAGTTATTGCTAATTTTAATGATGTTGGTGGTTGGGATGTCTTCTCTTTTGAAGTATTTAAGTTCATTTTTCTTCAAATCATGATGTTCTAAGTAGAATTTTTTTTATTTAGATTATTTTCTTATAATTACTATGAACAAGATGCAATTTATTTTTCATTTTTACCTTTAATTTTATAAAAGTTTTTGTGTATTCATGAATTTCTTATTTCAATAATTCTTTATGCATCAAAATAACGCTTTAGTTATTTCTATTCTGAGTGATGCTAGAGGGCACACCTCTTCTTATTTGGGGAACCAATTTTTTGGAAGAATTTTTTATGAAAAAATATATGTTTTGGTTTTATTTATAGATTCATTTTCTTTGCTACAAACATCTTTATAATTTAACTTGGGCTCCTTAAAATGAGTCTAGCCAATGCCCTATAAGTTAATTCTTCAACTTGTTACTAATTTATGATTTTGATTTGTTTTATGGCAGATGTAAATTATATAGGTGAATTTGTTTGAAAATTACGCTTTACATAATTATTATATAGACCGTCCTTAGAAATTCATATTGGAGATAATATCCGAAAGGCGCTCACACACACACACACACACACACACACACCACACACACATTCATATTAATGTTGAAGTACTATAAGCGTCCCGTCATTATCATATATCATACTTGTTTAATCGAGATAAAAATGGTTTTTTTTTTTTTGGCAAGACGTAAAAGCAAGTTTAGTGGACTACTTAACTCCATAGTCTTTTGTTTGCCAAATAATGAATAATACCACATTGAAAAACTCCTTTTATATAAAATTGAATATGTGATTTGACCCAAAAGAAATTAAATACGTGAATTTCAATGCCTATCTTCCTTGACAATGTAGGATTTATATATTCCAAATCCAATAATCAAAATCTATAAATACAAGTGATATATATGCTGACTATGCAATTAGTTATTATATATAAAATGAGTTACCTTTAATATTACCACTTTGATCGTAATTGTGCTAATAAAATATTGTGGTCTATTAGCTTTAATTGCCATTTGCACGGAACAAAAATTGTTAAGATATAATTTTATTTGAAACAACATTATAACAAATTTGCAACTTCATATTGGGGTCCATGAGCATTATAAGCTTTCTCTTTCTTATTTTGAAACGTCAACTTTTTAGTTAAAATATTTAATTCAATATGGGCAAATGGCCAATCTCGGGGTTGAACTAATGAGAGATCCAAGGGTAGCAAATTGGCTTATACTTCGTGTACGTTATCCTAATTCTGAAATTAAGGAAGAATAAGTTATCAATCGTTTCATTAGCACATTATCATTTTCCTTCCCTCTTTTGTTTCCAACTTCAAGGGCT